CGAGACTGAGAGTGATCGATGGGGTTAGAATGATCTTGAACGTCTTGAGGGTCGCAGTTATTTGAAGAGCACAGGGGGAAAAGGATGAAAATACCAGTGTTTGCCTCAAACATCGTAATGTTAACACAGTATTGTTATGTTATTAATATATCACTGGCCATCATGTCGGTTAAACGTTAGTTGCTTCAACAGTTGGAAAAAATTGCATAACATTTAATTACAAGTCTGCAATGGTTAAAGTTCGTTTTACTGAAAATTATATTACATAGATATTCATCTTTCTCCCCCCTGTTCTCTTCATTTATTAACCCTAGACTTATTGCTAGGTAAAATTAGTGAATTTTATATGTGCCACAAACTGTCATTTCACAACTAAATTTGTAGAAGGGTTTACTTACATTTTTATGGTCAAATATGGTAAAAATAAGTAAAATTGATATTAGTACAATAAGTAGAATATTCAATCCATTTGACTTATACATTTTCCACATTTTCATCTTATATACACGATAGTCATTTCACGTTTTAGAAGCCAAGTATACCGTTTTCCCTTCCAATATTTGCTGCACAAAAGCGTCATGTACCATTGAATTCCATCAAAAAGCTTGCACTTTTTTGTAGGCAACGAATCAAAGCTGTTTCGAACGATCGGAATGCACCGACCGCTCGATCGAGTACAGAGCCATAAATAAGCGGGAATCGATCGGTCAGCAGGGTCTATCTGTTCATTAAATCAGAATTTCTTCTGTCGTGGTAAATTAACTGAACGCGCAATCGAGTGGAGAATCGGGGTTCCTATATGCGAATCGTTCGAGGGCACCGAAATCGTACGGAAGAATAATTCGATGTTGACTCCACACGAAACTTCAATTATCGGTGTCCAGGACCACATTAGGTTCCCGAGTCTATGTAGGTTAAAGCCTCCGTCAGGTACATGCAAATGCTCTCAGGGGGCTGTTAATTAGGAGTTTGACGAGGCTTAAAAATTCTGCCGAGCTCCGATCTCCGGAACCCTCTTATAGAGACCGCTTTTCACCAATCACTTACGATCCCTTCTATTGTCCGTTTGGTATTTGCGGGAGAAGACAGGATATGCTGCACTTCAGAGATATTTAACACCTTAACTACAGACGACTTGTCTCAGAGATGAATAATCCGTCAACTAATTCGAAACACTTTTAGTAACAGACTGAAAACGTTATTTTTTGTTGCCATTATAGACACAGTGTGCTATTTAAAAGCACATAGTAATCCAGAATTCCTCACTAGATGAGGATAGTGAAAGAAAAATTCAGTCTATAGTTAAGGGTTAATAACGATTTAAGAGGAAGGTAGAATAAAATCAGAATTTTCACAGATACATGTCCGAATAATATCGACAGCTGAAAAATACTATCATCTTCTGCATCATTCATCTCTATTCCTTTGGGAACTACTCATGCTTATGTTCTCCCACACTGGATTATTTGTCTCTTGTTACATTAATTCCATGAATTCGAACGTTTCAAAGTGCATAGGTCACAATGAAGAGTATCCATTCAGTCGTCTGGTGGTGTGGGATCATGGTATTCAGGTGAATAGATTGGGGTAACAGAATATCGATCGCCGGTGTAACCAACTTCCGGTTTCCTAAACGAGCTCGGACCACATTTCTGCCCACAGCCGCCTTTCTAAAGGGAGGTCGAGGAGTCACTTGACTCGTCGAGGACGAGCATTGTCCGCGTCACTGGGGCTGCACCGCGAAGGAATTCAACTCACCGAAATGTCTCGACATCCATTGTCTTTCTCTCTTAATTACAAATGGCCGCTTCGCTCAATTTCGTTCCTCCGATTTATCGCCCCCACAAACGTTTCTCTTTTTACCGACGGTCGCTTGCATTCTTTCTTTCCCTCGAGAAGGGAGCGTTCAAACGTGCGTATGATTGTTTCGAGAATAAAATTGTAAGGGGCAGTTGAGGAATAAAATTACGTACTGTAATATTCTGTGATATTTAGTGAGGAATATGGTCTTTATCACTGTATTAGACAATGAATGTATAGGTGTTAATAATTTCTAAAGGACTTAGATGTCTTGGAAATTTGTAATAGATTATTTCAAAATGTTTATGATATTTTTTCCTTGTAAATCGAATTGCTTAAATATTTGTGAAGATAATTGTCAACTAGGAAGCACTCAAGTGACACGAATGATACATAGACGAATATCTCGATCTGTCGTGAAAATTATTCGTTTTAAAAGAGTATTTTACGGTACATCATTACTCGCATAATTATCGTACAAAATTATCTGTAACATTCTGTTAAAACACTAACGTTCACGAATACCTGAAACATTAATTGCATTGCTTACCAGCCTCATAAATCGAAGACCAAGAAGATCCTCAATTTTCGTGCAACCAAATATAGAACACAGTACGAGGCAAAACAAACGGATGTTTGGCCTAGTGATCCGAAAACGTGATATTCGGACCTGAAACGATGCAACAGTAACGAATGCAGGTCCGCTCAAAGCAATTGTGCAAGAGCTTGTCTTGTTACCATGAACTCGATCGTAACGAAACGCTTCGAAAATTGCGAATTCCCTAATTAAGGAATAGACGGTGGCTCGAACGCAGAATACACACCGAAGGAATACCGGAGACCGTGGCCGAGAACCGCGAAAAAAAAATATTTTACAGCATTGAATATGCATAGACCATGCGAGCATTCGTGCTAACCTTTAATTAAAACTTTTAATTAAGGCCAACTCGAGGAGTTCGATAGCATCGTTGCTCTGCACCGTCATGATCTTTTCGAGTGTTGTTTGTATGTACGTTGCGTCGATGATGATCTACGAAAAAGAGAAAAAGAAAAAATGAAACGATCTTTTTGATCGAACATCGTAAACAGAAAGCAGGCCGCGCCACGGACCGAATAACACGGAACCATAATGAAAATATTGGCTTTCGTCTGGGCCGGACGTGTACGACCGACTATTCAAATTGAAATTTATAAACGCCGCGAAATTTCGGGCGCAAAACAAATCCCGCCAACTGGAAAATATTCATTGACAGCGTTTGGCTTCTGTTTACGGTGATTCCGAATCAGGGCGTGAATCACCAACCGAAATGTAAAATACACCTTACGGTTCGTTTCGCGGAGTTGGACGTGGAAAAAAACGCAGACGAGGAAAGGCAAAAAGATCGCCGTCAAGGATTTTATTAGAGGTGGATTATCGAGACTCTATCAGATAGAATGACGTCAATGTTAATGCGTTGACCACCAGATCAATGTCTATATAAGTGAAGAAAATATTTTTAAATAAGGATACAAACTGTGTGATCAAAATGTTTGACTTTATTTCAGTTGTAATTTCCAAACCAGTTTCTGTTACCCATCCTACGAGTGATATGTCAATATTTGCTTATTTCGTAATTAACAGGTAATAAACGTATATCCACGTTACGTAAACTGTTTTCAGTATTAGAACAGTATGCAACGAACGTTATTTTCATTGAAATTGTAATATATAACGAATACAAATGATCTGCATTTATTTTCCAGCAACATATTAGTTCGCATAATTCAGACAGCTTTTCAGTAAATCAACCGGATTACATAACTTCTTCGAACGCTCTGAACATTTTTTTTCCGACGCAGTCGTGAAGCAAGAGGAGTCGCGCAGAGGAACGAGCGATATTTTAAAAATAATTGGATTGGACAACCTCCTTGTTTTTCGATTGCTGTCGCGCGACAATAATTACCTGGCGCGATGGTAAGCGTTGGAGCAGGCGTGCATTTCATTGAAAACATTAAAACACAGAGCACGGAAATCGTCGCGCCAGAAGCCACGAGTCTTAATTAGCAAAACGTCGTGTTCGCGGAGGAGATGACCGCAGATATAATCAGCCTTTGTGGCACCGTGTCATTTGCACCCTCTTCATTTCCGAGTGTGGCAACACCAAACGGAGCCAACGACCACGATGAAATTATTACGATACACAAAGATTTTTGGTCGTGACCTTTCAGAATAGGAACACTGGTCTGCTACGTCGATCATATACTGGTTAAGAAAAGTACAGTAGTCCCCGCTTAATAGACGCATTTTACTCTGCTTAATTGATGCAGTGTTATCTTTACTAATGCACAGAGATTTTCGGTCATTACCCTCCAGAATAGAAACACTGGTCTGCTACGTCGATCACACTTGGAAGGAAAGTATTAAGTGTACCAATAAGTAATCCACCATTCCTTTTTAATAAACTGGTAACATAGTTTAAGTTTCAAACATCTTTCTACCCGTTTCTTCTTTCACAATGGCGACGAACATCGTAGAACGAGGACAAATATCACTGAAACGTTATAGGCTTCTGATTACCTAGAAAATAAATATTCAATTTGACCAAATGTAATGAATAACTTATTGGTTGCATCTAATACCTAGACATTGTATATAAGCACTAAATCGTATCACAATAAAATAAGACATCTGTTGTCAGGAAACACTCTGTTCGGATAACAGAACGTTCGGATATTCGGATACAGGATGCTCCACAGTATTTACGTACACCGTTTTCCTGAATTTCATTAGTGGACACTTCGCTACATACTTCAATACACACTCCATTCAATGTAATCTACTTTCTACAATTGAATACGAAGAAAATATCGAGCGTGAACACTCAAATAGAAGCACGATATCGCAGTCAGAAGGTGTATCGAATACACAACCGGCGTGTTATCCCACTTGCGAAATAATTCCCTAACAAGATATACTCGATCGAATATATTCTGTTATTATAGATTCTTTTCGATAAGCGTGCCCGCAGATACGCGAGTGATCAAGAGCATTCGTGCGTGTCGAATCATGGGAAAGATCAACCGGGCGCCTCGTAACTTTCCCGCGTGGGGAGGTTTATTACCAATGATTACTCGTTCGAAGTATTTCCGATCAACGTTTCGCGCAATTATCCCGTGCGTCAACCCGATGAAATAATTCCGATTATGTTTTCCGTTTGCAGCCGTTGCACGATCAACGTACGGCCGGCTACTCCGGGAAGGAGAGAAGACGGATTCCTGGGCTGAGCAAGGCGCAGAGGCGTATCAAAGCGTCAAGCACGCCGGCACTCTTGGATCGTGATATAGAAAGGTGAGTGATTTTTGAATGAACCTTATAAATTCATTGACCACCGGGAACAGCATCACGGTAGAGTGACTTTATCGACAGTTCGGCTCGCGTGAAAAACTGTCCCCCTCCCCCATCCGGCTTCTGTCCTCTGGATCGTTTTTCTCGTTGATCTACTTGATCTTTGAAGTTACTTCTCGTTCTGAACCTGATCTCCAGTGTGTTATTAGAGAGATTGCATAAATAAACCGCGGATGTTTATGCAGATTTAGTATCTAATATAATAGAACGGAAACTAATTACCCTTATTAAAAATTTGATTAAGCCCCAGAGGTAAATGATAACTCTGCTCAACTTAATTAAGATTGTTATTTTATTCTCTTCCTGTGCACTTACTTCAGCTACTACTCCATTGAATTCGAATTCTTGTAATCTAGTTATTACTTGTGAACATTAGAAAGTCCTTTTTAAATAGATATAGAAATATAGTTTTACTTTCCTTTATTACATTAATTGCTAGTTCGAGTTGAGTGTATCCATGCATCAGTCTATGGTATAAATTATCACGCTTTTCCTTGGAGCTTGTCATGTAAATTGTGTAATTTCGTAAAAGTAAACTTAATTTGAGATCGACCATGAAATAGATCGTATCGTAAGTCTTGTCAGCCGTACCCATTATTATAGCAACTATATTTCTGTTTTAAATACTCTACTTTTTAGTTTATAAAAATAGTGTATTACATTCGAATATCTTTTTTTCTTTCAAATTCGAATTCAATGTTAATTGAAATCCTGAGATATGAATTCATCGAACCAAATTATTACGATGTTCGGAAAAACCAGATAGAAGGTGAGGGGGAGGGAGATGATGAGAGAGAAAACATAGAACGTTGTTCGAAGAAGTGATTCCAAAATCGTCGTTGGTGATACGAATATATTTTGGGGGGTGCATTTCTCCACCCCAAGATGGTCTGCCACCGACATGTTGTCTCGTGCAAACACCTGGGGTGCGCGAGATAAGTTATGAAACCTGTCGTGTTTCGTGCCCAGTGGGCTTTGCACGAAGATTTTCCTGTTTCCGGGAGCTATATTTGCGACAGACAAAAAACCATATTCCACACGCAAACATTGAAAGAACCGAGCTGGATTTCGTCACCAGGCCCAAAACACGATAAACGTGAAATTGCTTTTTTTGACATTTACATTAATTCATTATACACCGAATTTCTCCAATTTAAAGCTCAAAATGTCTGGAGCGTTTAGGGGACCGAGAAACTAAGAACAAAAGTCTTTTGGACATTTGCTCGTTTTTATTTCATTCCGGGGAAAATCGCAAACAAAGAGAAATAAAAAAAGTTATCGGTTTTTCACTTATTTATTCATGTTATCGTCTATTTAATGAAGATACTGTTCAAAATGCCTCCTGCTGGAATACAAGCATTGTATCTAGCATTGCCCGCTCTAATTGCAGCTAGACATTGTTCCGATAATATTTGGTGCACTCCAGCTACGATACGGTCTCTCAGTTGATCTCTCGAGTTGATTCCTGAAGTTTTGACGTTTAAATCGGGGACACCTTGTACAACGTTTAATTTTCCCCCGAACAATTGCGTCCCCTAAGGATGAAAGAACTTTAATGCTGAAACGTTAATTTTCATCGTGTTGGAACACATGATAGAGAAATATATCCGTGAAAGAGGGAAAAGTACGACAGTCGCAAGATACATTGATCTCCGCGTTGGGGGATTATCGACAGCGTGGAGGAGAGGACGCGCAGCATAGAAGCTAAAAATAGTTTTAAAAAACAGACGATCGAAAGAGCAGGGAATAGATCAAAGGTCCCCGGGGTTGATCGCGGGCCAGGTTCGTTTGAAGTGCCTGCCTCCTGCTTTCCGGCTTTCCATCGGCGACCTCTTGATCCCCCTTCTCTCGTGTCGTGTCTCGTAGCCGGGGTTGTTTGCCGAGGCAAGAATAAAGACGTTATTTCGAATGACCCGTCTCGGGCTCCATCGACTTTTGTACCTGGACGAACATTCATCCGGTCGTTGCTCTAATTACAACGTGAGTAGAAAGTCTCTCTCCAGCGACATCCTCTTTAGTTTCACGGAAGCGTGTACAATCGCTTCCGGTTCCCCTCGTCACGGTAATTCACCGATTAATGTTTCATGGATTCTCTTTGACCGTGTGCAATATTTTCGATTGACCGTAAAATAGATTCGTGTACTGTTTAATTGCCGATGTTTAAATTTGAAACATACAGTAAATCCTGGATGAGTAAAGACATGGAGAAGAAGAGGCACTGGCAGTGATAGAGCTTGGAATTCTGAAGCCAATGATATGTGTTTCAGCCGCATTGGTTTATGAAATATTTAATGTCCAGTGCTGAAGAGCCGTCGAACACTCATCAAGTATTTAGTATACCATACGGAGTGAGTCACTTAAGATTTTATTTTAGGTGAGTCACCCTGTATATAGCTGTTTTTGGATTTTTACAATTTATATTGTAACGAAGAGTTCCTTCACTTCCAGTAATACTAAATATTTCTCTCGTGAATAGTCCTTAAGAGTTTTTACTCATATCACAGTGACACACGTGTTTCTTGACAGTTAACTGTCTCGTATACATTTTTTTTTTTTCTAATTTTTATTCGATCACAGTTTAACGTTTCTTTTACAATCCAGTCGGAGTTCCATGAGTGAGTTGTTCCCATCGTGCTGGCAACAACTCACCAAAATGTTCGTTCTCGGAGAACTTCTCTGGACTTGGTGGTTCCAACAATGAGACGTAGCTCGGCATTATTCTAATTTGAAGTTTCGGGAAATCGTAAGTTCCCCTTTCCCAAGTCGGTCGAGCCGTCTCGCTTAAAGCACTTTCGCTCCGTTTAACGCCACGAACTTCCTGTCGTTTCTACAAGGGGTATTTTCACCGTTCAAAATTCTCAACTTAAGACAATAAAAGTAATCCGTACAGTGCGAGCAAGAAAAAAAGACGAGCACGTTTTATTTCGCGGACGGAATCCAATTAAAAGTTCTGTAATCGCGAGATTTCGACGGGAACGTAAATCAACCTTCTTTGGTTTGGCCTCTTAAGCAATTACTTTCGCGCGATTTAAATTATCCTTCGAACTCTAATCCCCGTCAATTCGAGTGCCAGGTTTCCTCCATTCGCCTCGATAACCTTAAAAGTCGTTTCGTTCGATCTAAATTCATTTTGGAAGTTTCACTCGTTAGGAGGTGGTTTTCGAATGCTCATTGGAGATTATTTGGTAAATCGTCAGACTAAAAATAGACGATCCTTAAGAGACCCTTTAAGGGGAAGCATTATCTTCTAATATACTTCGTCGTGGTCTGAGCTCATCCCACGTTCAAGGGAGCGAAACTTTTTACCCCGGCTACATCCAGACGGACGTTGGAAACTTCCTACTTTCCTCCGGTCGTGTAGAAGAATTATGAAGTTCCCCTTTATTCACCCTTCCACTTCAATTTGCGAGTACAGTGTTGCAAAAATTTCCACCTGGAAAAGTATGCATTTCTCGCGAAATGAGCAATGGTCGTTTGCATACCTCTGAGCCTCGTAATAGCGCTGCAATTCTCTTGAAATATCAGATTATACACTTTACTTGAGTAAATATAGAAGTTCTAATGGCGGGTAGCAGTAATTATAACAGTATTGATTGGAGAAGTAACATAGAGGGATATATTTCATAATCCCTTAACCCGTTCACTGTATCTTTTTGGTATCTTGTACTAACATTTTGTTTTCATGACATCAAGAATCAATAATCATTTGAAGACTATCTGAAACATTTATTTAAATATTTTGTTTAATAAACAATGTCATGATAAGAAACGCTCATGATAAGAAACGAACTCGTAGTCACAGTAACACCGTTTTTCTAATGTTTGGATGTCATTCAAAGAAGTTTCGTACTCCCGATCGTTAAGAAATGTTCCAAAAATATTGTCACTAAAGTGCTAAAGTATGCGTCCACTGTATTGGACAAATGCAGTTAGTGGATTAAACACATAAATCGCTGAATCTCATTCTGTGCACACTTTGATGTATCTCACAGGGCAGAGCTTTGGATTCTTGTTCCTAAACATTAATGTCACAACCTATTTCAAACTCTTCCGTACCTTCATCTTTAAAAAATACCTTTTAGTTTGAAGCAAATTGGTTCATTATCACGAGCTGTGCGTAACTTAATCCTAGGAGATACCAAGAACGGATAGTCGATCAATCAAGAATGTTCAGAGATGAATTTCCTGTAAGGGTAACGAAAAGGTCGTTCCAGCTCCCCGTGTAATATCCGCGAAAGCTTACATTATAACGCCCACGCTGAACAAACGTTGGATCTGTACACGAATCGATAAAAGGAAGAGTTATAGCGTACTCGTGGCCACGTGCCCCGGCACATAAAAGTTATGAATCGTGGGTAAAACGGTGGCGGAGTTTGCCGAGAGACTGGTTGTGCACCATGAAAAATAATAATGTCACGAACGTGACCGTTCCTTCCGAGCTTTTCCGGCTAGAGAGCAGCGCCGCCAAATTTTCACGAAATCTGCAGCCCAAGGAATTCGTCTTGATTTACGTCAGGCTTCTTGTAAACGTTTTAGGCTCTCGACATCGTTACAAATGTCCTCGATTCCTGGAAATTGTTCGAATGTTTCGGATATTCAGGAATGTCGGTTGTGTTACATGAAGAATAGCAAGAATATAAGTCTCTGTCCGTGAAGGTACATATTGGGAACAACCCCTGTTGGTTTACGGCTCGCATTGGCCTCGGTAGCATATGGAACACGAAAGGTTCGAAGGAGATCCTGGTCGGTTCTTCACGAAATTGCTCGAAGGATGAGATGTACCAGACGTGTTAAATGTGTTCGAAATCTTACTGCTTCCATGAAGATTAATAACTTATATAACATACATGATAAATTCGTTATCTAAGTAAAGAGTTTCGGGTAACAAATAACAGATAAAAAAAATATGAATTAATTAAATGTGGACATTCTTGTTTTTATAATAGAATAATTCTTCTTCGTGAATGAGGACAGTTGGCAAACAATTATTTAATTTCGTTGACTTTGTAAAGTTCAGAATGATGCTCTTAGATATCGCTGCTCTTCACTACGTATTATTCGAATAAAATTGTGGCCAATTCTGGTTTTTAAAAGTCAGGACTATCAATATTTAATCTCATACTTTTATTCCATGTTTGTTGTTCCACAAGAACTCTAGAATAAATCATTTTGTTACAGTGTTCATCTTGTGAACTTCATTTTAGCTCCCGCCGTAAGATTTCGTCTGTCACTTCAATACGTCAACAGCAAACTTATACCCCAAATAGAATCGAAGAAACCGAAAAATCAGAGCTTCTCCGACAATCGGTAGCGTCGATACCGAAACAAGGCGGCGAACGACACGCGTTACGGACAAACAAGAAAAAGAGGAACCGAGTCGAGAACAAAAGAGGCGGGGGAAAGCCGACGAAGATTAGCAAGAATGACAGAAAGCTTCGCTGTAGGTGCACACCGTGTCAGATTTGTACAGCGGAAGGTGGCGCGTCTGAAAGAGAGAGAGAGAAGGGTAGGGGGTGGGTGGGTAAAATTCCGCCGATTAAATGGGGAACGAGAAGAGAAGCAACAGCGGGGCCACTGTCACTACAATGGATAAATGGTACCTTTTGTGGAGACCGACGGCTTTCCTTGGCCGCTCCTCTCCCGCCCACGAGAGAAGGAGGGAGGAAACGAGGGTGAAACGTAGTGAAAGGAGAGGACGAAAGAAACGTACAGAAAAAAAGAGAAGGGGGACAATAGACAGAGAAAGAAGGGGGGCCTTGCAACCCTCGGCGTCGGTTTATACCTGAAGCGACCCTTGAAATCTGTTCTCGGAAGAGTTCACGAGGTTCACTGGCACACAAACCCTCGGGCACGAACACACACACGTGTATAGCGCACACGTGACGAGCGTGGGCCTGTGTGGCCGGCGGAGGAGCCTTCAGTCGCCCGCAGCTCGCCGTTCAATGCACTTCCCGTGGAAGAGTGGTTCCAGGCGATTTTCTTATTTTCGAGAGTGCCCTTTTCCCTCCTTCCCTGTTCACCTTTTCGCACGCTTCTACCTTTTCGCGGAACGGCGACCATCGAGTACAGTGACACGTTTCTCCGTGACACCGTTTCCGTGATACACACTGGCTGCCCTTTATATCTACCCTTAAATGACTCACGTGTTCTTTCTGGTATATAGCGGAAAATTGAAAACATATGTATACGTACTATTTGATAGTTTCTTTTTTTCTTTTTATTTCGAAGTGTATTTTCGGAGAGTGTCGTGTCCGTTTCGACGATCGTCCAGGAGGTGCGTGCACGTGATAGTGATCACTTCCTTCGATCAACAAGTGATGGTTCCTTATTCAAGCGTACAAGTGGTGGAGACCTTTATCGTGGAATAAATTCTGATGCGTCAAGGTTTCCATGAATATCGTTACGATGCCTGCCAAGTGGTTATAGGCCTCTACGAGCGACACGGACACACACATACATACATAGATGAACACGTGGACGTGGTTTGGTGTACCGTCCAGAAGGTTTCAGTCGTCCACGGACCGTCACTCGACGCATTTCCTGTCTAAAAGTGGTCGCAAGTGGTCGTTCGTGTGCACAGTAATTTCGAGGCTCTTGGCGTGTTAAATCGACCGACGTCAATGAAGGGAGGAACAACAAGTTTTTTCTCGATGTTTTAACTGAAATAATTATCGGTTTTGTTGACTCGTATGTGCACGCGCGCGCGACTTTAATTTCACGGTTCGTCGTGTGCACCAAGGTAAAGAGTGTTTGTGCGTACATTTGGTACGAAGAGTTTCACAGGATACAAAGAATAAGGTGGAAAAACAGAAGATTGCGAGAAGTTAGAAATGTTCGTGCAAGAAGTAATGATACACGCCGGATAAGAGGATTTTTTTTCGGGGGAAGAAGAAAAAATCGATCGAAATCGTCTCCATGATGTGGTACGTGACGATGCACAATGTTTTTTCCCCGGTTAAGCCGGCACGGAAACCAGGCGCGAACAAAGGACAAAAACAACCGCGTTGGAAAAATGAAAAATCATAACATCTGTTGCACCCGCGAGTGTCGGTTCTCTCTTGATTTACCGTTCACGCGCGTTTTCAGGGCAAAAAATGTTTGCACGCGGTGTAATTAACAGGCGAGTGTGAGGGAAAATTATGCATTAATTAAAATGGAGCATCGAGAGTGCGATAACATCCGCGGATAAAATTAAGTGTTTAATCGAAATATATGGGATGGTTCGCTGGAAACTGGTTTGCTCGGTTTAACTCCTCTGAAACAGATTAAGGGTATTCCTCCTGCAGTCACTTACTTTCAGAATATATGGGATTTGACTATATTTCGCTCGAATTAAAAATATTATGAAATGTACTAAAAACAAATACAAAAATCTTATGTTATTGTTGATCAACTATTTACTGTTATTGAATAATATAGTGAAGTTGGACACAATTTTATTCGAATATAGTAAAAAACAGCAGTATCTGAGATCGTCATACTGATCTTCAAACGGTTAATGAGATTAAATAATTGTTTACTAGGTATCTACTAATTCAAGTAGTAATATTATTTTACTGTAAAAGTCGGAATTTACTTTTTATACAGAGAAATACTTTTATTTATCTTTTATTCATTATTCGAGGCTCTTTATTTAAGCAATGAATTTCTCCATCTCTAATACACAGTTAACGTTAAATTTCAAGTACTTCATATTTTTAAAGATCGTTAGAAAAACTCTAAAAATTGCGATAAATAACTGCAGTTACTTAAAAAAAAAATCCAAATCACAAAGAAATTCTTTTTCACATTTTTCGTCAAATTTGCTTCATAATTTTTTTCATAAGTAAATTCATTCACTGTGATTAATTCCACCTGTACTACGAACCTGTATTCAACTATCATAAAATTTCGCTGCATTTTGACGGTCGCAATATCGGGGAATACGATACAGTATCGCGGTTCGAGAAATAGTAATCGAACGCCCGTCTGCGAAACTGTTTCGAAATATTCGCTCGGAACCACGGGTTTCCGTTCTGATGAAAAGGTCTGTTGAGACTTCACGGACGGAGAAGGTTGTTCCGTGACGGCGCCGTTTCCGTTATGCAGCCACGGGAGACAGTCACTTCGTCAGCTGGTGTGCGCACCGGTGGTATCCATAGATCGCCACGGCTCGGCCGCGAGCGCACCTTCGTGATCTATCAATTTTACGGTGCGCGTCTCCCGTGGAGCCGCAGCTGGACGAATCGGTGTTTAAATTTCTTTGGGGGCCCGTAAATTATTTCCCACACGCGGATTACAATGTAACCCATTGATTGAACGGATAGATAATTGAATCGATCGATGCCTCGGACGCTTTTAATCGATCCTCGATTAAATCAGGCCGTGAACCGTCCATGTTGTGGTATAATACGAACGTTTACATTGTGTCGAACAATTTTTTATTATGCTTTTCTTCGTGACTGTACGATAAAAGAATAATTGGAGTGATTTGTAGAGGTACATAGTACTTGAAACGTTCTTTTGTGGTATGTTTGGGTCAATATGAAGTACATCGAACAGTTTCCATCAGAGATGGAGAAATTCATTAGATAAAGAGTTTCGAATAACGAATGAAAGGTAAAACAAACACTTAGCAGTTTCTAATTGATTGTAGGTAGAAATTCCAATTTTTATAATTAAATACTGTTTCTTTTTGAATGAATGCACAGTGGCAAATGATTGTTTGATCTTATTAACCCTGATGCTTTCCTCGGGTCCATATGACCCGAAATAAAGATTATATTTTAATAGGTATTATGTTTTTCAATATTTTCTTTTTTAGTGTCCAACCTACTTAAATTTTACGTCTACTTTTTCTGTATATTTCCCATTTTTTAAGAATAAGTTATTTTAAAGTGTGAAAGAATTTTATTCGAAGGTATACAAACGTAAATAATAAGTGTGGAGAACATCAGAGTTAACTGATTAAAAGTCGGAATGACTATCTTAGATACTGTCGTTTTAGTATATATTATTCAAATAAAATTATGCCCAACTCTGTTTCTCATTGAATAATTGCTTTTGAGGGTGTTAACCTAGTAGGTTATTGATCCCAGTGGCTAAAATCAATCTTGTCCTACTTATTATAAATATATTTATCGATCAACTTTATATTGTAAATTACAGATAAATGTTCATTATAACCTCTCATTTACCAATGTTTCTTTACACAATCTTATTGTGACTATAAAAAAAACCTTAAAATGACTGTCAAGATCGCAATCTATTAAAAAAACGCAAACCTGATACAAATTTCGTTTCCAGTGATTAATTTGCAATCAGTATTGCAATCGACATTTTCTTCAAACCATTTGCAAACTCAATAAAAAAACACCTTAAGATACAAACCGCCTTAATATGCACCAGTAAACACATTTTCCTCGAATTATTATTTACGAAGTCAAAAAAAAAAAAAAAACAACTTAAGATATAAATGGAGGACAATTTACATAAATTTGTCCTGTAAGCTCAATAATTATATCATAAGAAATAATTTTTTCGCGAATGTTGTGTCCTCATTTCCATCGATAATTTACTCATTCGTGCTGTTCACGTCCTCTCGAAGTAGCATCGCGAGAACGAAACGAACGATAAATGTATGATATCGTGGTGTAACAGTGTCTGATTCTCTTTTGTGTGCTCAGTCGACAGTGGTCGGGCGACGAGGAGGACGAGGGGACAACCGGTCACGTAACAACCGAGCATCCTCTCGCGGAGGCGACAATCCCCTTGGTCTCCCATTTGCGCCTCCAAGAACAGCCCTCCAACCTGAGTGGCAATATCGTGACCGCTTCCGGCGGCCAGAATCCTCCCCGTTCGAGCACGCAGAGCCAGCAAGAAAGCGTGCTGCAGAAATTCCGAAAGAGCTTCTCGTTGAGATTCCACAAAAAGGGCAGCAAGGAGAGCAACGAGAGCGAGTGTCCGCCGGACGATAACGATGGCACCGGGCCTCCGGACGATGAAGAGGACAGAGAACCGACCACCGTCGCCGAGCAAATCCCCCAGCACAAGGAGGACACCAGCAACGACCAGAAATTCCGGTCAGTCGAACGCGTAAATTGATGTTCATACGACGACGACGTGTCAAACATCTCTCTAGTAATTGCTTTTAAATGGAATCGTGTATTGGAAAAATGAATCTTCGATTTTTAGGTTTGGTCCTCTCGTCTGGCGGAGTAGCAAGGAGAGGAAAAAGGGTAGCAAAGCTGCTAGAAATGCGAAATGCAACAGCGGGGATAGTGGAATACAGATCGAGGTAAGGGAAATGGGTCAAGCTTCAAATGTATTTCAGTTTTGAGTTTAAATTTTAGTTTGAAGAGCGGGAAAGAGCTCAATTTGTAAAAATGTGTAGATCAACGAAGTGTGTATTGTTCAATTCTTTCAAGATAAGACATCTATGTATAATCATTGGAGCTGTAGTCATATTCAAGGCCACTTCGATCCCTCATTATGTCAATTTAGTTTTTCTACCTAAAAGATAGGGAATTTGTATCTGTGATTTCATACTAGATGACTATTAACACATTCACCGTCGCGTCGATCACTGAGTGACCTTCATGTAATACAAATTCAAATGTTAAATAATAAGGTGAAGGTACCTAAAATCGCCTAGTAAAAGTTAAGTCGCTGTCAATTGGATAATAATTGATTTGTTTATATGTCTCAAAGTAAAGAGAAATTATTCGTCTTTCACATAGCATAAGTTAGAATTGTTGAAATCTATAAATTCGTAATTGAGACTCAAAAAAACATGAGCAAGACAAAATTTTGTTGTAAAAAAAGTGTACCTAATATCGCCTCCTCAAGAAATTTTGATTAATTCATGTATGTATGACTTTTTAAAGTCATTTTCGTATGTATCTTTATTATCTCTTGTTAGATAAATGTTTTTTGAGCAATTTTCTATAAAAATATAGAAATAGGATCTTTTTAAATATTTCATTTTGTACGTCCGGACGTACATATTGAACAGACAAAGGTAATTTCTGTTACTCCGAAAATTTCGCATTGGGGAAATTTCGGAGTTGAGAGCACTAAAGGTAGGCAGTATTGAAAACACGCATACTGATACAAGAAAAACGTGTTATTTTCATTAAGAAAAATATTTGATTCAATTACGTTCCTTAAGTACATCATTAATTAAATCCTTCTAGTAGATATTCATGCATTCATAGACTTTTTAGACTAACTTCCTCCAAATGAGATGTAAAATTGTCGCAGTCCAATTAATTTTTACACTATTAAGATTCATTAAATACGCTGTAATTACAGTATGTATATCTTCCCGCATATGGTTATGTACTTTTTCAATCTATGAATAATAAATCTTAGTGCTTGCTTTGCGAGATATAACGAGTGGCGATATTAGGAACATCAACGATATTTGGTACCATCACCTACAATCGGCGTGAATGGAAAGTGAGCCGCAATAGGCGATCCGCGGTGAACGTGTTAAACATAATTAGTGGAACGATAAAGCTCCACGAAGGATACATACTTCCTAATAATTCATATTATTGTAATAAACTTCCTAGCAGTTCTTAATCCCTATCATGGGAGTCGCTAATTCACATAGCCAATTAAGCAACACGTGATCACCGAGAGACATTGAATATAACCGAACAAATGTAATATACTCATCCACTGAAATTGTGAATTGTATTCCACCACGAAACGTCATTCGAGTCGTGGAACTCTCCGACAAAGCACGAATAACGAAAGAAATTGTAAACGATATAGATGGTATCTGGTGGAGCATTGACTGGGGGCGGTGGTGGAATGATGGGGGGCGGCGATAGCTCCGAGTCCCACGACACGGATGTCCAAGACGAGACGGACAGCCCTCCAGCCCTTCGTAGGCGAGTCGCCGACAAATCACGACCCCAGTCCGAGCTCATCAACCAGATACTGATCGACAAGTTTAAGGTAAAGGAAATCGTTCTTTGCCCCGAATATCCCCCCCTGCTACGCGCAGTGTGTTCATTCTTCAATCATTTAATATACAGTAAATCCTCGATGAGTGTTCGATGGCTCCTTGGCAGTGACAAGGAAAAGTCCCCAGAAGTAACGCTGACTTTTTAATGAGGTTTAGCACAGTGATAGAGTTTGGAATTCTGAAATCAATGATATTTCTTTTAGCTGCATATAGCTATTAGTTTATGAAATATTTAATGTTTAGTGCCGAGGAGCCTTCGAACACTCTTCGGGGATTTACTATATAACACCAGTAACAATCATCAGTCGCCCGGAGAACTTAATTGTCGCTTTACGTGTTACTTAACCAATTGCCATTGTTATGCAGCCATACCGCGAAGGACAAGTGTTTTGCATTTAATTCGACCTATTGGCTGGTAGAACTTGTCCATGAAGATTACAGAAATCACGATTTTAAGTATATTTACTGGTCATCGTGTCGATATACATATACAGGGTGAGCCAATAAGAACTGCTATCTAAAATAACTCGTTACCTATTGATTGTGTCAGAAAACGTTTAACAAATTGTATAGCAATATAACGAACGCATCAGATGAATAGAATTTCATTTTTGTAAATCTTATTTTGTTTTGGGATGTCAAGCTGACCTTGAGTTTTTACAAGATCAATCCATCTTTTTTTAATATGTCGACGCTATAAAGGACGAAATCAGCAATCTATACCATGATTTTATTAAAAAAAGGATTCATTAACCTTGAAAAAAACTCAAAGTCACCTCGATATCTCGAACAAATAAGATATAAAAAAATCAAATTGTATACATCCGATGCGTCCCATAAAATGCTACATAATTCATTGAAATGTATTTTGATACAACCAATAGGTAACAAGTTATTTTGAATAGTACTTCTCGTCAACTCACCCTTTCTAAGAAGCAATTTTAGTTCGCAATTGAAAGTTGCGTCCGTTTATACCACAGCCAACGCGTTAACGAGTGCGAAACACTTTTCCATTCGTCGAAAACTAATTCACACCTAAAAGCTAACCGTCCTGGTAACGAGGATCGAGGATCGAAATTTAAAACGAAAAAGACAAAAGAAACACAAGGAACGTTTCTGCTATCGGATGAACGCGAAGGTGATATTAATTTCGCAAAATTTATTAATTGTTCGCTCGGGTTTACGAAAACCTATGTGTGACACATACGGCTGTTTCGTTTTAATTTTTGCGACTGGGAGGGGGGGGGGGGTTTTCATTGGCTTCGCTACGCTCTCCGCCGCACGTCGATGATTTACAATCGTTATTAAGAGGCGTCGCACATTTGTAACCATTATCAGACCGGCACCGTATGACTGTTTCCTTCGGCACAATAACTCGCATTACTCACGTTTGTATACGGTTTAGCCACGCTCGCGTACAGATCACACTGGCAGTCCCTGATAGACGACGAGAGAATATATGTATATATGTATACATATTATATATATATATATATATATATATATATACACATATATACATATACGTATACGTGTATATCGCGTTAGCCAGGATACGAGGAGAGGAAACGCAGTCCTGGTTAGTTGATATCGAGAGTCGGACCCGGCGACCGCGCGGGCACGATTTATGGGAACTTGCACGTATATACTAGGCGTGTGTCGTCGAGTCATATTGTGTTCGTCGTTACAGTTGATTTTGAGGTCCACGCGACCAAGAAACGATCATTGTCTTCGAACTGAACTCGGATCACACATGAACAAAAATTCGCGAATGATCTCCCCGATCGATTCCGTCAAATTCTTCTATTCATCATCCGAAAATCGGTTCTGCGTGTAAAATCGTGCAGCGTAAAAATATGAAAAGCGCGTGTAAAATCGAAAATGGTTCCGATACCGTACCGTCAATGATCTTTAATATAATCGTTTTAGAACAATCCTGCCACGTAATCGTCAAGTCTGTGTGTGTGACTGGATGAAACCGTTACAATCTATCTCACCGTACTCAACACCTTGTCACGTTTAACCGAAATATCAGTGGTTGTCTGTAAATCGAAATCGGGAAATGAATGTGTTTGATCGGCTTGCCGAACCAACAGCTTTACCGATCGATCTTTCTCGCGGGACTGGCCCTAGCGGTCACGCCCAAAGAGTACTCGGCCGCGCGGTGGTTCGTTTCTCTCGTTGCTTCGAGACGCCGGGTGTCAGAGGTGAACTTGTTGCTCACAGGCGAATGGTTAACCGGGTGGATCGTGATACTTTCAGGCGGATCTGCAGAGTCGAACGTCGAGGCACCAGCATGTACGTCGAACGAACAGCGATTTAGGAGGTCAGAGGCTGCTCCAGTGGGACACGAGGTCTGGCTACAGCCACGCGCACAATTACCGCAGGATGCTCTCTACCCCTTCGCCTATCAAGACCAGGCCTCCTAGGCTAAGCCCGAGGCACTCCTCCCATGACATCGTTACGCTGAGAAGGTGCGTTTAACGAACGTGATCCATAACGTGTTCTCTCTGTCTCTCTGTCTCTTTCTCTCTCTATCTTTCTTGCACCCTTATCGCAAAACGCCTCATTGACTTTTCGTCATCTACGAGCAAACGGGAAAGTCTGCTCTCCCCCTCGGCCGCACGAGAGAAACTCGAATAAACTTTGAGCAATCGGCGTGTAACGGAACTTACGATTTGTCTTGGGAATAGTTGGAAGTTTTTATTGATAGACTATTATTATTATTATTATTATTATTAGGCACATGTACGTGGATTTGTATATATGACGATTGCTTGGGTTTGATGCTAAACGATTGCGCAAATCGCGGAGGAAACTAACGGCACCTCTGATGGAAAGAATCGATGGAAAAATCTAGGTGCTTGTTTAGTTTTCTTTTCTTTTTGTCTTCAATTTGAAATCGAATTATCTGACTTTAAACTCTCTCCACCTCCTTCTTCTTCTTCTTCTTCTTCGTATCTGTTCGTAATCGAAACGAATCATAGCACGACATTAGACAAATCATCAAAACAACTCCTTTGAAAGATGTCCTTGAAGGAAATTTAAATTCTTTATTCTCGAACCTTTCCAGTAAATCGAGGGAGAATAGTGGTAGGTAGACGGGTATTATAACAAACCACCCTTCTTTTCCATTTCTCCTCGTAAAACAAGTTGATCTGCCACGCATATAATCATGTACGGAGTGGTTCTTCACTCTCGACAGGCTAACCAATCAGTAAAATGATTCATGGTTTCTTTGTGTTAATTCATTTTAAATGTATACAGACTCGTGAATCATGTCGCTTTAGATCGGAAATTACTAAGTTTATATTGTAGCATTAACTTTAAATCCTGTTTGTATGAAATTGCAGATTTAATTAACGAATTAATCGAAACCGAGGAAGACTAATTGCACGTATTAAAATTACTAAAAATAGTCCACTATTATTCGTAACAATTACATAGGGAGTTCCACTATTGAATGGTACATACCGATTCAGAAAACGTGAAGTGTATTACATTCAGACGAACAGTAATCAATAGACTCCGGATTGTTATGCAAAATGACATTTTCTAAATTAATTTGTAAAGACAGGGGCAAATATAGAAATTTATTTTTCCTCTTAAAAACTCGTTGGATCCGATGAAAGTTTTGTTTTTTATTGTATTTCACAGAGCCCTATAAATTCATAAAATCCGCAGTCTAGTAATCAACAATTACAAAAAAAAAAAGGCCAAAAACATATAGATAAATCCTAACAAGATATAATGCTCGGTGCATTTAGTTTTTTTCTATGTACTTTTAAACGTACAATCTAACTACCTCTCGGTTGTACCATTCATCGTAAAACTTCCTCCAGACTCCGATGAAAGATTGATCAGATAATGAGCGATTGTTCGAAATGGACCGTTCCGCAGAACCACTCTGTATACGCGTGTTATACCTTGGTCGTGTGTACATATACTTACCTATTGTAATTCGTTGCTGAATGTTGTATCGATGCTTCTACGTAAACACAAGCTTGTTGATCCTCTTTTCCGACCGTGTACGGATGAACCTATATATTAATGGCGATTTTATTCTGGTCCCAGTAACGCGAAAGGGAGGAGCGCTCGGACAAATTTGAGGCGATCACTTAGTCAGCCACTGGGTATCAATCAGCTATCACCCTTGATGCGCACCAAAACTGCAGGTAAACCATAACGCACTCGTCGATATAAAGTCGGATCCCTCGACTAATTGTCTGAGTTCTAACGTAGACACGTCTTTCGCACTTTCCTTTTTTCCAAGCAAATGAGCAATCGATCAAGTACTTTGAACCTCTTTACTTTCTGTCACTATCATAAATCGTGTCCAGAATGTGAACGTTCATGGAAATTCATATTTTCAAAAATCCATTCGTAAACTGATAGCATTAGTACGTTTATCAATGAGTAATCCACATAATCTTATTTTACTAAAATCTCAGTAGTATTCAAATTCAAGATATCTTTGGAAAACAATGTCTAGTTGTTGTTGAAATAGCTCAGATTTTTAATTTTAATTCGTTAACGTTTGCAGATCTATCTGTAATATGAATAAAGTTTACAGATGAATTGCTAACAGGCTGTTCAGTTCCAAGGGTCGTACCATAGGTATCTTGAAGATGCTTAAATGTCTTTAGTTTGCTTATTCGCTTGGCAAGGAAGGTTCACCGGTAGCAAGCCCGTTGACGAAGATTAGTGCACATTTTCCACTCCAATGGTATCCAGTTTCTCTAGACACGATCCCCCCCTGAGAGTGCTCTGAGTCAGCATGCACACCCTTGTAACGATCTTAACGCATTCGTGTCGTATGTAACGGAACGCACCTGTAAGAAGAGAGCTCGTAACAGTTACGGAATGCGGAACACCCCTGTATTACACGTGTTATAATATCTTCACTCTTGTAAGGACTGCTTCCTGTGAATACGCTTTTGTTTGCAAGCCGCAGTAGAGACTATTTTGCGCTCGATGAGCTTCATGAAACGTTTTCCAATACGGTTAACAAGCAAACTTCTCTCTCCCTCTCCTGAACCCCTCCCCTAAAACACACTGACGTTGAAATGAACATTTTTCACGTGGTCGAACAGTTTTCACGAAGTTCAGCGAAAGCAATTTAGTCAGCCTCCGTCACGTGATCGAACATCATAAACAATTTTTTCCAATCTTTCGCTGCGCAACGCCTACGATGGATACTACACATGCAGGGTGATTTTTGTTCGTATATGCGATCGCTTTCTCGTATTGCGAGCTAAGAGAAACACGAGGAGAATCGATCGGAATCTTTGCGAACCGGATTCAATGTGTTATAGATGAATTTCATCCGAACATTACGATGGTAATCGAGTTGTTTCTACGATAAAGACCGTTCTGTTCGTTTGAAATCAGGTGCGAGGCTGCCCGGTGGTGGTAATGTCCTGTCGGAGGACGAACAGGACGGACGAGGTGGAACGTCGGACGACGAGATGATGTCCGACTCGGAGTCCTCCATCGCATCCTTGACGGACAGAAAGAAATCCTTCGAGCAGACGATGGACGAGGAGGTCGTGATACTGGCTGAAGCTGTTTGGGACCACGTGGCGATGGAACCAGAAGAGCTGGCTTTCCGTGCCGGCGATGTGATCGAAGTTCTGGACAATCTCGACAAAGATTGGTGGTGGGGTAACTGTAGAGGCGAGCATGGCTGGTTCCCGGCTGCATTCGTTAGGGTATAACCCATTTGTTTCGATTAAAAATCGTCATTCTACTCACCACTGAAAAATTACGTATCCTTGACCGGTGGTGTGTTCGATTGTTTTTTAGTTACGTGTAAGTCAAGAGGACACGGTCGAGGATTGTTTGGCGGCAATGGCCTCCGGTGGCACGTCTAACTCCCAGCTGAGAAGACGCACAAGTATATCGTTACTGTCGAACGAACAAGTCAGAGCGAGCGTGGTTCGCGAGCTGGTCCAAACCGAACGAGATTTCGTGAAAATTCTGAGGGACGTCGCGGAGGGCTACATAGCCGAGTGTCGGCGACGAACGGATATGTTCAACGAGGAACAGATCGAAACGATCTTCATCAATCTGGAGGAACTGTTGGACTTTCAGTCCGAGTTTTTGAAGGATCTCGAGTCCAGGATAGACTGGAACTCTCCGTACAAAAGCTGCGTCGGCGAATGCTTTTTGAATCATGTAAGAGAACTGATGAGGTTGTGAAATATATCACTATCGTTAACGATCATTGTTGTAACTCCTGTTATCGAAATGATTTTCAGAGAGCAGGATTTCGTATGTATTCGGAGTACTGTAACAGTCATCCGATGGCTACCGTCACGTTGCAAGAACTTTACCAGCATAATCGTTATAGCAAATTCTTCGAAGCCTGTAGACTAATGAGGGGCTTAATTGAGATTCCGTTGGACGGATATTTGTTGACGCCCGTGCAACGAATATGCAAATATCCGCTTCAATTGGCGGAACTGTTGAAATATACGAAAACCGATCACCCGGATTACCATAAAATCCAGGAAGCCCTTGAAGCGATGCGAGGAGTCGCGGTCTTAATTAACGAAAGAAAGAGGCGAATGGAGAGCCTGGAGAAGTTAGCCGCGTGGCAGTTAAGGGTCGAAGGATGGGAGGTACGAATTTACTGCAATTTTCATTAAAAAAAAACAAACAATACAATACTATTTCGATGTTAATCATAGATAAATATATGAGTCATTTATACCTGCACTGAGTTTTTACTTGAAAATGTCTAGGAAATATTCTTATTTAAAATGTAGCACAACAAAGTTCAACTCCTAAGAAATCATTGTAGTATTTTTCGATAATGGTGCTGTAATGGCTCGTGTATGGCTTTTAACGGAATAGAAAGCGTATACTTGCAGTATTTATTATACCCATTTTTAATGCGTATCATAGGGTGAAGATCTCATAGAAGTTTCGTCTCAGTTAATTTACCAAGGTGAAGCGATGAGAGTCACCACTGGCATGTGGACGAACAATATCACTTTGTTTCTGTTCGACCATCAGTTAGTTTACTGTAAGAAGGATATTCTAAAACGAAACACTTATGTATTTAAAGGCCGCATTTACCTTGACACAAGCGAGGTGATCGACGTCCCCGATGGGAAAGGTAATTCATGTAGTGAACAAATATAAATGTCGATACAATTACGAGTATACTATAATTGCTCTTATTTTGTTTATTTACAGATCATCAATCGGGAGTAACAGTGAGACACTGTTTAAAGATATACAGCTGCGTTCGAGACAAATGGTTACTCTTCTGTTGTCGCACGGCAGAGGAGAAGCGACGATGGTTGGCAGCCATGGCGGAGGAACGGAGGCTAGTTGCTCAGGATAGAAATGATGGGCTGGAATTTCCAGCGGCAGCCAGACAGCTGGCCAGGCTCGCGGCGTCGACACAGCAAAATAGGCCGCCAATCAAACCTCGCAGTAAGTAAATCACTTTAATTTTGAACAAATATTCTAGAGCCAAGGAAACATTATAATGTTCTCACCTGGATAATTTACAGACAAAACGTACAAAAGGGAATCGGCTTACGAGATGCCTACTATGGTCGGACAAGGCGCAACGAACTCGTTGGGACGCAAAGTTGGCACTTGGTTTACGTTTGGCAGCAGCAAAAAAAGTACTCGGCCTCAGCCATCCTGAGACAGGCCTACCTTCGTACCATACATTGACCTATAAAACTCTGACGAGACGCGCTTAAATCGTTGCTCCGCGACCCAGACCCAAGTACATATTACCCAACATGTAAGAAACTGTTTGAAGTTTTTTTGGATTGGTTTAATCTGACTTCCTTTATTGTCTCGACGTTTTTCTCACCGAAACTCGAAATTGTATTTGCACTGGCTCATTGGAGATATAAGCGATCCTAAGCGCTCGTCATATGTATGGGACGAAGGTAATTGATTTATATGATCATTAAATTTCAATTCATAATTGTTATCAATTCCATAGCATTGATACATCCTGTTGACAGGGTAGCAAGACTCAGCTACAATTCTCATCAGTCCAATTTTAGTACTATTATTTAATTTAAACGTATACGGTTCGATAAGAGAGGGTGTAAGTCTGCATCACCAACGATATTTATTTCACTGCCTCATGGAATGATTCTTCATTAATCGGTCTGTCACCTTAAAATCATAAAGATCACTGTACGGAGTGACAAGGTATTATCATTTAGATTTGCTTAGCAAATAATAAACGTTGTTTGTTCTAAGTATTGGTTCAACCACAAAAACCTATTGTTAACTTAAATTAACTAAGTTTACATAAAGGAGAATATCCACACAAACAACTTTAGGCCAGTGTTCTTGGGTAGGAGGAACATTATGGAAATAAAAAAGAATATGTTAAGTAGTTATAACAGTTGAAGGAAATGGAATGAGTACTAAACTGATCATGTTAGAAAACATGAAAATTGAAGGAAAAGGCAGTATAAACTAGAGAAATAAATGCAGTTATTGTTAGACGTAGATAATACATGTATAAAGCCACTAGCGAGCTTTCGAGGTACTAAAGAGAAAGTACTAGTCACTTTTATCACGCAATCGTATAAAGTACAGTGATAAAACTTTATTGTTACTCGACTGCTTGAATGAGTGTTGTGAGCATTGAACAGATTAGTAATGGCCATACATTTTTTATGGTAATCGAAAGACTGACGACAGGAATGCTTCTTTCCCAGATGTCTGCATAAGAATGGGTCGGAAGAAGATATCACTGAGAGAAAAGGGTGATCAAACTTTAAGCAAAGTTGACCGTAGACAACTATCTGTAGTTCCAGGCTGAAAGAAATGCTGACTACACTCCCCTGTTCGATACTCTAGATAGTACTTTAGAACGCACACGAAAATACAATTGTTCAGCGTAGTGTCTGAAAACTTTTCTCTCAGTGAAGCAAAACGTATCGCAACACACAATTGTAGAAACGAATCTCAAGTAAAATTACGCAATGTAGTACTTTTACTGCCTAAAAGATTGTTGTTATTTCACCTAAAGCAGTAATCGTAAAATACTCATGGTAGTTTGTACGGAGATTTTAATTTTACTAAAGAGACGGAGAAAATTATATTTCTACGTCGCAAGGGAGAAACAGTATTAAAGATAAAGATACAGGTACTATTAAACGTGTAAATACTCGCATATCAAGCCTCTTTTTCTACTCCTGCTGGAGCAATTTCTTAAGAATCCCAAGAGATATGTTTCAAGTTTTTCTACTCTTGTACAGAAAAGAATGTTACGAGAATATTGTAGCAAAAGCCAGTCAACCAGCAAAAATCTCTGTGTTTTGTATCGAAAATTAAAGATAGCATATTGTGAATGTTATCTGTGCAATTAGTCGCCACAGATGATGTAATTAACTTTTCAAAAACTGATGCACCAATTGTGAAAGTTTTCAACACTGCCAATATGTTTACTGTATGTGTCTTCGTTAATTTATATACTTTCTCGTCATGCTTAATGTGTATGCGCTCTTTCAAAGTATGCGTTGACATAAAACCAAACACAAAAAAATAAATAATCGTTATTTTGTATCTGTGAATTTTTCATGTTTCTCTATCTTGGAATGGGTGTAACTTAATGAAAGAAGTGTTAGCGAAAGAAATAACAATACACAGAAATATATTTTTGCTTATTTTCTGGCATTATATTTACTATACGACGAGGACAATATGATGACAAAATGAAGGAGCAAGATTCCTACTCAATTGTACAGAGAACACTAACCATTGATGTTTAGACTAGGAGCAAAATATTTGTTGCTGGACCTAACTCATTCAAGAGTTATTTTTATAGGACAAACTTATTTGTTTCATTGCAACATTTCTCTGTAAGCATTACTATGTATGAACAACTTTAATAGCCATGGTAACTAAACATAAGAACAGGATATCTCTTACTAATTGTAAATGCTGAAATGATAATACTGCATACTACGCAACTCAGAACACTTCATTCATATGAATTTCACTTACATCAGTCAACGGATGAAACCTTCGCAAATTACCAAAGTAATATTACAAATATTCATGCAATATACTGTTAACAGAAGACCTAAATGACGTTCGTTCTTTGTATTGGCCATACTCTACATATCTTGATATAGACTCTCATGTTGGCAAATATAAAATATAACAGTGTAATGTTTATTTTTGTTTTGTAAGTATTGATGAAACAATTTGTTGTATTACTTTGGATTTGTTGAAATAAATTCTGCACAAATGTCAAAATAATGTGCTTCAAAGCAATAATATTACTAGGCGTTACAGTAATACATAACAGTTTAGGCTGTTGCATATATATGTAAACTCATACACTTTCCCTTGTATTTGATATTGGTAACTGTATGTGCATATTGATAATTAACATTGCATATGTATTATCAATATGCACATACGTTCTATATCAAGTTAAAAACAACGGATACAATAATGTATCGCTTTGTTTCATGTAAATATGTAGCTAGGTACAGTACCTTATAAGTGTAAATACTGTAGACCTCTTTGTTAGCAAGAAACTTGAAGACAACGTAGGCAATAAGTGACTTTAAAGTTAAATGACATAACTTTTGGATGAAGATTGGATGACTATTGATTATATAGCCCAATGTTTTGTATATTTGTATATCTAATTTAATGATTTAATAATAAATTACTCTCTGCTCGATTGTTCACGTTACAAATACTTATTGTTTACGATATGTACAGTTGAAATTACATAATATGTTTAAAATTGTTTTCATAATATAAATATATACTCAGTTAAATATATGTAAATAAACATTTTATAATTATTACATACTGTTACTTTATTGCACTTAATTGCATGTGTTTCCATGTAGTAAATTTCACACAAATATAATTAAAAATCTGTAATGCACTGAACAGAATTGTACTAACAGAAAAGAAATTCGAAAAAGCTCACATTTATTTCTATTTATTATATGTATTCATAAAATATTAAGTCCCAAGAATGTATGTTGTACTTTTTGAGATCTGAGCCTTTAGTTCAGAATTCTCTTTTTTTAATTGATTCACAACTTGTCTTAACGTTTTAGCCTCTTCCAATAGTTGAGCATTTTCATCTAAACTTTGTGAAAAGTTTTCTTGTACATCTTGTAACTCAGTTATATATTCACATGCCCTTTCCAAAATTCCTCCTTTACTCTGTAAATAGAATCTGCTTTGTAAGTATTTGTAATAAAAAATAGAATAAAATAGTTTAATAGGCAACATATTTTAAAAATACAAAGTACTTTACCTGTAATTCAAAATTTGTTTTCACATCCCCTTCTCCTGTTGTAGTTTGTTCATAGTCAGGTAAAAGTTTACCTAACTTTGAAATCCAATTATTGATTTTATCTCTGCGTCTTCTTTCAACTTCATTGTGTGTTACCCTTCGTCTTTCATCCCTCTATGAAATATCTATTGATTATAATTACCATTAAAGGATTACTATAATTTTATACACAACTAATTATTACCTTTTTAATTGTCGTAAGAATGTTTTGTGGATTATCTATTTGAAGTTTAACACGTGGTGTGACTGTTCTTGCAGATTCTGTTGTAACTACTTCATTACTGTTACTGAGAACATACAACTGACCATTTATCGGCGATGTCAAGACTTGGACAGTATTATTCAAAGGTGTAGTTAATGACAATTCAGTATTATTTGCTTGACCCTCGCCAACTTGTACTACTCGATATGCAACAGCATTATCATTCCTATTTACTTCACATATTTGATATTGTATGTTATCTTCTTCTGTGACATTATCAATCTCTGTGTCACAATCTATTATTTCTGCTTCCTCTAGAACGACTCCAACATTATCATTGGTAATTGTAGTGTCATCCACACTACAAAATAATAAAAAGATACATAAGAACCTAAGGGGTTGAAAGATTAAGATAATGTAATTATACATTCTAGTAAACAGCTGTTTTTAAAATATTGGAATTAAAATAATGTTTCTTTTTCTTTGTTAACCTCATAAACTAAAACTATATAGATAAATAAGTGTTTTTCAGAAACACCACATTAAAACAACGCACATTAAATAAAACAGTTTTCATGTCTAATGTTACCTTCAGTTTGTAAATTACGGAAAGACATATACTCAAAACGGCTGTTTCACTTATTATTATTCTTGCCTTTCTTTTTCTTAATTATATGAAACCTTCCATTTTTGTATTACTAAACAATATACAGCACATACCTCTCGTCAATGTGATCAAAATGGTTGAGAACTTCCATTTTAATTTAAAAAACAAGGTATTTTCGATCCGTGATCCTCAGCTTTGTGTAGTGAAGAATGCATCACAATGCACTTGCCTAGCATGTATAAACTTTCGGTGCACGTATGATCTGTCATAGGTATGCGAAAGTGTATCGATCGAATACATGTATTCACTCACTTCTCAAAAAACATTAGAAAGTGATTATTTGAAAATACACTACATGCCAAAGAATTAAATTATTCTTCACTAGTTACAAAATTTTGTTTTATAGTGCACGATCGTCTAGAGCAGTCTAGAGTCTAGAATCACCGACTAGGTATAGAATAGACCTAACATCCAATGCTCTTTTTTCTCCAACGTTCGGAGGGCTACGTAACCCTCTTACCATTTCAGTGTCAATACCCGACGTTACCGATAAAGCATGAATTCTGAGTATTATTAGCAGAAATGGAGCATTATATATTCCATTGATAATACGTGTATCCAGTACGTTACCGATAAAGCATGAATTCTGAGTATTATTAGCAGAAATGGAGCATTATATATTCCATTCATAATACGTGTATCCAGTATGATTTGGTGGGAATAAAAATATCCCATGCTTCGGTTTAAAAGATGAATATTGTAATACTGATGAAATATGATAACTTATTCTAAATTTCATCGTTAATGAATATTTTAGTAATGTTACGTTTTCCACGTTCCTTTTTTATTCGTTTTTATATTTTTTTAATCTGATAACGTGTATAAGAATCCTAATACGCACAATCAATTACCTTCCGGTAATTGGTGAGGAAGTAATTAAACAATGAACTTCGACCCAACTAGAGCTTAGCTAGTCAAGCTTTCTTCATGAAAAATAGTTTTGATCTATTATTTAACTGGTAATATCTATTGTATTGTATTTCATAAACTTTGGCATCATTGTCAAATTGACAGGATATATTTATCATAGATGGCGTTAGAGAACCATTGGAGGATTGAAAACTTCGAGAAGACGAGAGTAAAATTAATACTTTCGATCTATTAGGAAGTGGAATATCACATTTTCGGGGATAGTGTGTGTCTCTTTGTTTCCCTTTCATGATAGTCATTCCCTCCTGAATTAATCTCGGGTGCATATAAGAAAACATATTGAAATATAATTCGGCGGTACATATTCTATTTCGTTCAAATAGAAAGTTGAGCAAGCAGGAAAGCGACCAATCCTCACGTTCTTCACCAACCGACGCACCAATCACAGGCCTTATACATAACCGAATCAACCAATGACAGCCAGTCAGCCAGCCTAACGGTCATTCGTCTCAGGGAAGCTGGACTCATTAGACGTGTAGTGATCTCGCTCGTGGCGAAGTAAGTATTATTACTTTTCACTTTAAATTATTTATGCTATTAGTATCTACATTACCACTCTATCGTTACATTTGTTTAGTATCTATTCAATTCAATGCAAATAATCGTAAATTAACTCGGTACTGCTGGATAAAGTGAACTGGTTTCACGATTTCTGTTCTCTCTCGGTACCAATTAGTATTTACGCAGTTTTGTTTAATTTGCAATCTTTAGCGATACTCTTTGAATCAATAATTGTTTCGTTGTGACTCAGTCATTGTTAATTTAGTATAATTACTTGGTATTAACGTTTATTTTCTGTTCCAGAATTCCGGCTAGAAAGAACGCGCCAACGATGCCAATCCCATTAGACGCAATTTGGCGGGAAATTGGTGAATTCTGGTGATGTATTACAACAAAATAGTTAATATTCCACTAGATATTTTTATTTTAGTACACTTTTACTGTTTTGACCGTAAACTTGATCGCGATTTTCTGATTAACTGTGCTGAAAGCAAACAAGAATTTGTTCGAGAAATATTTCGCGTTCAAACGCAATTGAAGCATTCAATATGGCTTCTTGTTTGACCAGTAGGAAATTTAAACGGGAATGTTCCAGAAGTTTCAATTCGAAATACTCATAGTTTACTGCATCTCGATCGCGAAATTGTTTAAATTTTAATAATTTTTCGAGTTTATCATTACGATGTCATCGTATTTGTATTTATATACGGTTTCGGGTGTAAGTTTAATTATACATATAGAAGCTGCGTAGTTTACGATGCTCATCGAAGCTTAAGTAAATAACGAAGCTTTAATCCTTGCAACGATTTTCTCAATATTTATAAAATTCGGTACGCGATGTAGACAGAAATAACGAACATTCTTAAACTCTAACGACGAATGTCTTCGATATAATATATTAATAACAAATATATATCAGAAATGAATATAATATATTGAAACAATGGAGAATTATTTTGGAATATTTTTTAACTATGGTACCTTTGCGTAGTTAAATTCATATTTGAATACTTATCGTCGAATGACAGTATTTTCATGATAGAAACACTTGGTAAAATATAAAAATAAAAAGGCTAAGCCGGTGCACGTGCGCCGTATTGTATTTCTTTCCCTCCTGTTTTTTCCACAGTATTTGGTGGCCGCGTGCAAGGCGGTCGAGTCGAGTCAGTGGTCGAGTCGAGTCAGTGTTTGTTTACATCGAAGTTTTTTCTGTTTATGCGGAGCGAACTGGCGCCGATTAGGATCTCACCGGAGATGTATTATGGTCTTCGCGGAACTAGAGTCAGTGTTTGTTGCGTATAATCTCAAATTATTTTCAGAGTTTCGGGACACTCTTTGCTTTGTGTCTCGCGAAAGTAGAATCATTTGTTCGCCGGTTGAGATTTTCGGTCGCGATAGTTTTTTATTTTCATTTTTTTCTACTTGAAAGTACTCGTTCGCGAATGTAGAGTCAGTGCATCACTGAAGTGGATTTTTGGGCGAAGCTCTACAAATAGAGATTGTAAGTATCCTTATATTTTATTACTTACACTGTTCAACTGAAACAGGTAGAGTTTTGAGAAGAGGTTATTACGTGTTCTGTTCCTTTCTTTCAGATTTATCAGATGCTGCATAAACAAACACTGCAGAGGATGTCCTTGGGCGAAGCTGCACCATTTTTCAAGATTCGTCGAGAGAGAATATTAAAGGGAGCTCTTTTGTCATCGGGTGAGTGAATGTTTTTATTCCTCCAGTTCCCAATCATGTCGTAGGACGATTGGTCCGAAACGGCACGGGCGACTTGGTTGTATACGTGCTATTGGCGAGTACAGTGAACACGGATATGCAATCGTACGATTGCATATCCGCGAGTAGTAAC